AAAAAAAAAAAAAAAAAAAGAAAACAATAATAATAATAATATTAGTAAGTCTCTTTGCTCTTTTTTTTCTTTCTCTTTCTTTTGTCAGGTATAATACCCAAATAACAGTCTAAAAAAAAATCATTTTGCAGTTATTTTTTAAAATTTCAACCTTAAACTGATGTGGTACCCAACATTGCAGCGGTTCACCGACATACTGTTTTGCAGTTAATAGCAGTGAAAAGATCAGCAACAGGGACGATGTATAGACATAATTGATACGATCCACGGCATCCTCGTCATGCGATGCCTTTAATCGTTTCAAATAGTCGCTAACTTCAGCAAACATTTAGCTAAAAAAGAGAAAAACAGCTTAACAAAAAACCTCAAAAACTAATTCAAAATCTAGCAAAAAAAAAAAAAAAAAAGGATCAAACTTTTGCGTTTTTTCTCTTTTTGTTTTGCTTAACATTTGTACATAGATTTTTAATGAACACTTTTGTATTTTGTTAAGATGTTACAAATAAATTAGAAAAAAAAAATTAGTAAAAAATCAGCAAAATAAAATTCTTCTCTGAACACTGCTACTGTCCTTTTTGTTGTTGTTGTTTGAAACAAATTCCAGAAATTAGTCAATTTTCTTAGACATTTAAAGTGTAAAGAAAAAAAAGAAACAGTAAAGAAATGAATAAATAACACAAATTCAATTTATGTACAAATAATAAGGAAAAAGGAGACGAAAAAAAATCAATTAAAAGACTAACTTTTTAGCAGTACAACTTAGACAGCTTAAAACTATAAAATTTCTATCGTAAGCATCAATTTAATCATATAATTCCTTTTTATTAATAAAAGAAAATAAAAGCAAAAAAAAAAAAATTTTTATTGCCTTCTCTCCCACCTCTAAAATGCTGCTTTATCAATACCTGTTATGAATATTATAAAAAAAAATAAAAGTTAGCATTTTTCATCTTTTTTTTCTCTTTCTGTAGTTACTAATTACTGCTGCAAATGAGTCAGAATCGGGGGAGTAACTATTAACTGTAAAAGAAATCGTTAAATTTATCAGTGAAAAATGGAAAATTTTTTACATATCTCCTGTATTTTTGATTCATAATTTTTTCTTTCTACACATTCTTTACTGTCAATTTCCAACAATCAATTCGGTGAATCACTGATAATTGTCAAATATTGAAAAACCGTGACTTATAACAGCAGAAGTAGCAAAAAAACAAAACAAAAAAGTGCTAAAATTTGAAGAAAAAACTTTAACTTCAATGATCATTGAAATATTAACAAATAATTGAACAAATAATCTATGTAACTATGAAATTTGTTAAGCATAACGACAACATATCAAAACGTATATTCCACCTTCAACATATTTCAAATTAATAAATTTTTTTTTCTTTTCTTCTGCTTACAATACTGTTTTAGGGAAGAAAAAATAAAACTTTTTCAGAAATACAAAAAAATTTTAACAATTAAAAAGCATTAAATCAGTGAAGCTGTACTGAATGACTTATAGAAGACGACTTAATACTGGGTATGTCATAAAAGTAGAAAGTACACTAAAGTACGAATCTGATAAACGATATTTTGAACATTGAATGACAGAGATCAATTGACGATAGGAGAAAAAAAAATACCAATAATCATT